GTTGGTGGGTGGGCCTAATCTTATGCTTCATAGTGGAGCGTTGGAGAAGGTTGGGTTAGGTCAGTTGTTGAATCATGCCGTGGCAGAATAGCGTCATGAGCATGCGATGTGGATTACTGAGCTTAAACCTCTCTGATGAACCAATGCATAAGAAAACCAAATATCTAGTCCAGCAGTGATAGTATCACACTTGTTACTCCTTTGTTTGAGAGCCGCGTCGTAGTACGCTTACGTATAGGCACTGACGTTGGGTGCGATACTGGCGGGTTTTTCCGCAAATCATTCTTATTTTTTTTACGCAGATAGATTTATTTGGGTTTGCAAGGGAATTATACTATTGAAATATTTCAGAAAATGCCCAATACTGCTTCTACTTGCGTGACAAGCTTTCATTGTTGTTTTCATTGAAGCAATAATGTTAAACACCATTTTTGTACATGGTATTGTAACTAATCTTATATGTGCTTCATTTTGATTTGGGGTAAGTGTTTGAACTTTGGATCGGGATTTCCACTGTGGCGTGCTTCTATTGTGACATATCCATACGTAATTTTGTGGGACGACATAGTGGAAACATGTGAGTGTAGTTGGAGCATATACCCTATGTAATTTAAAAATCAGCTAGGAAACTAACTTCAAAGTGAAGCATTTTAGTCACTTGAAGGTGTCACCTGGGTCGAACTAATATATAATATATATAGGTTAAAGTAAAAAACAACTTGATACACGTTAAATTTTAGATTACATACACAAGTGCAGGTACTTAATAATGCATGGGTTATAATTGATTAGGTAGATTAGAGATTTCAATTATTTATTAAATTAGGCTAATGAGATATCATAATCATCAAACGAACTTTAATAAGAAAATTTAGAAAGCCTAATAACATTAAGTAGATTAACAAAAGAGTTAGGATGCGGGAGGAGGCAACTAGCCTTTAAACGAAGACAACATATCAAGAAGACTGGCAACTCTTCCATTTTCTCATACTAACGCTAGGTATAATCGTGTCATCTGCCGCTCAAAGGTAAATGCTTCGAACGAATTTCTTGATATGATATCTTCGCTTCAAAGCATCTGGCAACTAGCCTATTCATATATTGTCTGTTTATTTTGATGGTTGCTTTAAAATGTCAAGTTGGTATATATGTGAAAGGATGAATCAAACCCCCAATAACCGACTTCTCCAATCCCTTCCAATGGCGTTCAAGTGGTCCGCATAGACTATTCAGCCATTACCCTTCCTTTATCCTCGGCTTTGGATTGACTTGCGCTCCCATTGCCCCACCAAACGCTGCAAAAATGAAAATGAAAAATTCCCATAATAGTCTCCTCGGAACTTACCTTTAGTATAAAGAGAGAGAGAGAGAGAGAGAAGGATTAGTAATTCCCATTTAATTCCACTACCTTATTTGCTTATGCTTGACAGATACGTGTATTTCGTCTACGGTGTGCAGACTTCTTCAGTCGAGTATTAGTACAATACACTGAAGAAGTCTGCACATTGTAGACGAAATACGCGTGTCTGTCAAGGATAAGCAAATAAGCTAGTGGAATTAAATGGAAATTACTAATCCTTCTCTCTCTCTCTCTCTCTCTCTCTCTCTCTCTCTCTCTCTCTCTCTCTCTCTTTATACAGGTATTCCACTAAGACGTCCACATTCATCAGGATTTACCTTTAGTACTGCTGAAATAATTCTCAACATTACCTGGAACTTCTAATCGAATTTCTGTAGCAGTTTCCTTAAAATTCCTTCATAATTATCCCTAAAATTCATCCACAATTCTCCTCACCACTCATTTGGCATTTCATTTCAAATTTTGTACACAATTCTTCGAAGTATCAGAATCTTAAAATTCTGTCCAACCAATATTTTTTTTTAAATCTGTTTTCTTGAAATTTTAATTTTTTCAGTGTCTGAAATCTTGAAAAGTTCAAGAATATGAAAAACATATCGATTCTAAAAATTTCTTAAAATTTCTCACGTAATTCTTCGATAAATTCGAATTTGTCAACAAGTCACATACCATTTTTTTTGCACTCAAAAGAGTTTCGAAAAGTAGAACTTTTCGGCACTGGAAGCTGAAAAGTAGTACTTTTCGGCACTGGAAACTGAAAAGTAGTACTTTTCGACACTGTTATTTTACCTTGAGCTTGAGCTTGAGCTCGATTGACCGCCCACGGTTGCTACTCTGTTACTGCCAGATCAGCTGTAATTACACAGAGAACCAATAGACGATGCTTGGGACTAGCAATCATCCTCAATGTGTAAAAACTGATGATCTTAAATTAGGCAATACCAGCGCCGGCCGCGCCCGAACACAGGTCAAGAAAGGAATGGGAAGGATTGTGTTGACATGACACTCGCTTTGATGGAAGCCGAGAACACCTCTGCACTTCCACGAGGAATCACTGGGATGTTGAGAGGGTTGGGTTTGCAGCAGGGTTCGTTTTGGTAAACGATAAGCTGAATTGATGTCCTAACGATCATATAACGCGAAGGAGCTTGGGACTAAACCCACGGTCTTCTGCTCAGTAAGCAAAAACGTTTGCCACTAGGCAGACGAGCACCTTTTTAATCACCGAGTTGCTGTTATTACCATGTAGTCATATTAACAAATAAAACGATTGACGAATCTTGAATGTGGATGGGCCTGAGATTAGACTCATGATGTTCTGCTCAGTAAGCAAAAACGGTTGCTCTAAGGCCACCGAGACCCTCATATCACATAATACCATTGCTCAAATTTGTGTATCCATTCAAACCCGGAACCAACGACAACAACGAGTTTCGCAAAATACACGATACACAAGCCATAAATCTCTTTGATATGTAAGGACCTGGGACCGCGTTTTTCTGCTCAGTAAGCAGGCCACTGTAACCGACGATCTTTCAAATCCGAGAACTAAAAACTACGAAAAAGTACTTAGGCCTTCATTAAGTTCCACTTTCACGCGACGTTCAATGACAGGGTCCTATCCAGGATTACATCTGAAATATCGAAATCTGGCCAACGTCCACCTAAACCTGTTCTAATCCACCTGAAATGACTAACGAATGGAAGACTTTGACTACCCAGCCATGCAATAGTCTCATTCCGTGCCTTATGGCAACTTGATGATTCTATTGCGCTCATCTTTTGGCACCACCCAGGGGAGACTTGGTCCTGTACCCAATGCTTAACTTATCTCCATTCCACTCAGCTACTCGCAATTTCTTGTGATATAGTGAGCGGAATATTATTATATGAGACAATTCAATGCAGACGTCTTTCCAAATTTGGCAGATCGACAGGTAATCGGTGAGTTACCACGATAGTTGCTATTCAACAACTCGACAACGTCCCATCGTCAACGCCTGCCATGAGAATTTCCCATTGCAGACGCCAACGAAATGACGTCATCGAGCTATCGATCAACTACCCTGGTTATCGCCTGGTACCTTATGCACGATGCTAGGAGGCGAACCGGAATAATCGATGAGCTACCTCTCCCCCTTTTCGACACTGTTATTTTAGTTATGAAAACTACGCCATAATGGTATTCAAACAGTTATGAGTGCTTAAAACACTTTTATATGCTAAATTATTCAGCATGATTTGACAATTTGATGCGAGATGATGATGATGAACCCTAATTAAATTTAAAAAAAAATTGGAAATTGATTTATGCGTGTATTCTATTTTACCATGAAACCGGAAAAGACCGGGAATTTTTATTCTTATGAGCTTTATTTTTCTTTCGAACTTTTTATCTTTCAAGCTCCTGTTTGTTGTTCTACAACCTGTAAAAAAAACTGGTGATGTTGTAGGGTAGAGAACTACATCGGACTAAGCGCCCATTTTGGGCCTATCAAGCATAAAACATCAAATAAATCAATGATTTCGGCGTTTACATGTAAATTATGCGATTGGTACGATACTTTAGTTCAAATACTACCGAACGAAGTCAATAAGAATGCGTGATATGAATGTTTGCCCCCAATATTCTCAAATACAAATGAAGCGCTCCGATCGAATCAATTTTTATCTTCATTCGATAGGCTGAAGTGAATTCAGTCGCGTTTCAATGCGTTAGGCCGAGTTTAGAATCCGTAGGCCGAATTTGGCGTCAAGAAGCAGTGTTTGACTTTTAACAATATCTCGACAATTTGTTTCTCTTTATCAATTCTTACGGTACGTACGGAAAGGTAAATAAATTTGGAAACCATCAGTAATTTGAACATTCCGCTAGGTGCTAAGCTGCGCTAGATTAAGAAAGACTAAGTGCGGGTTGTGCTTAATAGGCTGGAAATGGGGTAGCTAACCCTATGTGATGCCTATTTTAATAAAAAATGTATAAAGATCCAGAAATTTCTTGAGTAAAAACGTCAAATAATAAATACCCAATTCAAAATTCTCCTCGAAATGTATTCATCTAACCCTATGCGCAGTTTTTCCAATTTTCCTCACATCGTGCAGCCACTCTGCACTGCTAACCTTGATCAATATAGATAAACTGCACCTGCATTCACTCAATGTCCCCAGTAAGAATGCAAAACACGACACATTCTGAAACCTTGCAAAACAACACGGATGACCCACTATTATGCTAACCGTATGTCAGGTTCCCATCGTGACTCACATGTTTTGCCCAAAGACCAACGACGACGACGACGACGGACGCCGAGAACTTCACCTACATGTCAAACGGTGCACGCCCTGCACACACGGTCAAACAAATAAACATAAACATCCTTCCGCAGGGCTCCTTTCAAGCCATTCAGTTTCCTCAATGTCAACAGTTTAATTTGCTTTTCGACCCAACTTTTGCCACCACCTCATCATGTTTCTGCAACATTTTGCCTACTTGTAAAGGCTTTGGTCGTCGCCGTCGTTGGTGCCCTCCCTCTTTTCGTGTACAAAGGCTATCGAGTTTCTGGCCGCGGCTAATAAGCCATATAAAACCCAAACTAGGCCACACACACACAAATTGGATGCCGAAAAAGGGAAACAGACAACACTTGGCACATTTATCTTTATTCCGTTGGCCACACTAATCTTCATTGTAAAACTCCGAGTTGTAGATGAATTTGTCGCAGCTCTCGTTGGGTCGTAAATCCGTCGTCACCACAAAACCATCGCCGTCCACACAGAAGAGCTGCCCGTTCTGATCCTGTGCGTACTCGTAGTTGCCATTTCCGCCGCAGGCCAGCGTGAACGGCATTCCAGCCTCCTGGTAGATGACCATATCGCGAGCGCAGTCTGGTATATGTTTTTTTTTCGGGGTGATAATGCATTAATTAGAAGAATGAGAATTTATACCGTTGTTTAGCGGTGATGATACTCACAGCAGTTGACACCCGAAACCAAGCTGGAGCGAACCTGGAAGGATCCGATCTTTTTGCCATCGCGCCAGGTGCAGTAGGCTCTGTTGGGTTGTAGAATTTATCAATAAATTTCTAGGAGTATTGCTATCCTAGAATGACTACTTACACCCCATTCTCGATCTTGTACGCTCCGTAGGTTCCGTCGTAGTCACAACGAACTTCGTTGAAGTTTACACCGTTGGTACCTCTTACAGAGAACTTGGTCTGTATCTTCTTTTGCGCATATGTAGCACTTTCGCACTGACGAAGATATGAGTCACCGTGAAGGGTGCTGTTATCTAAGAAAAGAAACAAAAATCCAATCAGTCAGTCACTTTTTTCGTGCGATATATCAAATGGAAAACTCACAGCACGGTAGCAACTTCCACAAACTGTCATGAACGACCGTCGTCCCACCCAGCGGATCTCCGTTATACTCATCGGCGCACCAACAGACTCCCGAATCGCACTGCAATCGTTCGTAGTTACCATTCGGCAAACAGTGAAGGGAAACGGCACTCCGTCCTTCCGCTTCCAACATCGCCCGACGTCTGCTGCAGGCTGAAATTGACATCGAATTACTCAAAAAAAAAAAACATTCTGTTCAACAATCAACTCACCGCAAGTCATTTTCGCTGCATCCTTGTACCAATCCCAGCCGAATATGCGGCGGCCGTCCTCGCTGTAGCAGAAACACCGTCCGGAAAGTCGATCACCTCGGCACTGTTTGCTGGCGTACGTCCCGTCCAGGTTGCAGCGCGGATACCAACCGGCCCACTCATCCTCGGCTTGCATGTGGATCGTGTGGAGGCAGGTCGCTGACAGCCAGAGATGATTTATTACCGAACTTAAATACACACTCTCTATATAAACTCACATCGATCGTAGATGCACTTCCGATCGGCGCACTTGAGTCCGGGAGCGCAACGCCGATTGGCCACGTTGACGTTGCAAACCATCATGTAACCCTGACCGCCGCGGCATGTCGGACAGCACCCGTTGAGGGAGGCTCCGGATATGAGCACTTCGCCTTGGTCACAATCCGATTGGCGCAGGGACGAAATGCACCCGTAGAAGCTGTCACAGCTCGGCGGAGCGATGATCGGCGTGATGGAAGGAATGAATGATATCGTAATTGACAGGAACAGGAGTGCGAGCATTTTGAGCACGGGTTCGGAACTGGTTTGATTGCTGCGCTTGATGGTCGGTTTGGTACGGGTTGACTGAGGTTTCGAGATAAGAAAGTTGTTGGTGATTTTTTGTTAATGGAGTTTCGATGTTCTACAGCGATCGGGATAGTGGTTGATTGTCTGAGAAATTGAGGTCATATAATGTGTCCAGAGCAGTCCCAACTAAAAAAATGCACAGTGTAAACGCTTTGCTCATTTTATTTATACAGCCTCAATCTGTATTCAAATGTCATACGATATGAGACAACGTTTACTTAACCTCTATACAAAAAAATCTGTCGAACTTAGTCAGCTACTAACGGTTGTTGGGGACGGTTAAGGCAAGCTCTTATTGCATATCCATTTACCCTTCTATACAGCTGTTATTCCGCTGTTTATTTGTATGTGAGCTTGAAATGCGATCATGCAACCTTTTCCCGATTGTCCTACAGTCACCACACAACTTTATCTTGAAGCCGGGGAAAATATTGTTTGCGCCTTATTTTTTTAGTAAAATATATTGACTTTGTTTTTCTGCGAATTAAATTAATCGAAATAATTTATATGCACACTACCAGCAAGTGATTATTCTGCGCTGGAACCTAGACTCGGACTCAAGACGATCGCGCATTGGTAAATCTTCCTAAGCAACATGTTATATAACAGTTTATATAACGTTTGTACGACTGGTTTTGGTTGTATAGCAGTTTACAGGGTGGCCAGCAAACCGGGAAATCCGGGAATACCGGGAAATATCCGGGAATTTGGAAAGTAACCGGGAAAACCGGGAAAAACCCGTGAATTCTGTAAGAGAACCGGGAAAATAAATTAACCATAGCATAGGAACAAATTTTTACATCAGAATTTCAGAATAAACCATTAAAACAGAGTGATCCTTTAGCAAATGAATGTCTTGCTCTATTTGTTGCATAATTTTCTTCAGTATACCGTCTTATTGTTTTTAGAATTTAATCACTCAGCAATATTGCAAATTGATTTTTGTCGTTTCAATTTCAGATGTAAAGTGCATGGTCCTCTAAAGAAAATATTGAAGATGCTGGAGTTTGGAACAAATATTTGTAAAAACCGAAACTGAATTATTCTTTTCCGGGGTTTTAATTTTTCGTTGTTCAAAATTCTCATGATAAATTCCAGAATTAACTTGGAATTCTGCTCTGAATTATCTTGAAATTGTTCTGAAATAAACCAGAAAACATTCCGCGTAATAATTACCGTTGAATTCTTTTAGGAATTTTCTTACAACCCCTTCTAAGAATTTATTGGAATCCTTCATATAATTCCCGTTCCCGCCTATCCGGAGACTTTGATTCCTTTAAAAATCTTTTCAAACATTTCTTTTAACTCTATTCAAAACAAAAGAAATCGTTCGAAAATTAATTTATAAACCCCTTGGAGTATTTTAAAGAATTTCTTTCTAATTATCAGCAAATTTTTTGGAATCAATTGTGTTTGGGTTATGTGATGAATCATTCGCACTAGGGTTGAAATTATTGCCAGAACTACTAAAATTACCTAGCAGTTTAATTTAGAACTTGCATTCTTCTCCAAAGAAATCCTTCCAAATTCATCTAACAATTTCTATGGATTTCATATAAGAATAATTCTGGAAATCTGCTCTTCTCCTTCGAAAACTGTGTGGGAATCCTTCTCAATATTTGTTTTTAATCAACACTTTGAATTCTTTTAAATTTTACTAAAAATTCCAGGGTTTGTCCGCCAGATTCTACAGATTGCTATGTAATTTGTTATTACCCTTAAAATGCTTCCAAGTCTCAGAGCGTGACAATTATGACTCCACGACTCATAAGTATGATGTTTTTTTTTTTTTATAAATCTGTGATCTTGAAAAAAATTCAAGATTTCCCATTTTAATTATTATTTCTCCAAATCTTGCATCACGAAGCATGTTATTAATCACAAATTTTAAAGAAAAGTTCTAGTTTCAGACTCTACACAAATTTCAAAGCTCCAGAATCTTTGGAATCTTCTTAAATCACATTTTTTTTATCCTATCAGTAAATTTTGTTTTTTTTTTGTTGCATATTAACAACCGGGAATTTTTAAGATTTGAACCGGGAAAACCGGGAAAAAACCGGGATTTTCAAAATGAAAATTCACTGGCCACCCTGCGAGTTTACTCAACATAATTCTATGAATTTGTGTTACTTGGGTTGGCACTTTGAACTGACGTAAAAAATCTACATGCCCTTTACAACAAGATCGCTAAGAAAAGCCTTTATAATAGTGAACATGAATCACTTTTCTCGACTAGTTAATTCAGTTTTGTAAATTTATTTATTTATTTATTTATTTATTTATTACTTTGATATCTTCATCCGACAATTTGTTGTCTTAATGAATAATTCTTAGCATCAACATCAATTCATTTTTCTTAGCCTTGAGCGAAATTGAACAGAGTTTTCATTGAAGTCGAACAAATTATAAACATCGTTGAAATTGCGCATGACTGCACGTACTGGCTCGTTACCGTCGTAGTCCTGTCGCCAGCGTGGTAAGCGGAGAAATTCGGTATTCCTGAGTGCATAGCCGGGAATGTTAATGTCGATGAGAGCAAGAAGATTCGGTGCATCAAGTTCGGCGTTCAGTAGTTTCGCTACAAATACAGCTTTCGCGTTCTTCCTCCTTTGTTCCAGCGTTTCCAATCCCAGTAGTTGGCATCTATTCTCGTAGGGTGGCAGATTAACCGGGTCATTCCACGGTAAGTTGCGAAGAGCGTATCGTACAAATTTGCGCTGAACGGCCTCTATGCGATCGATCACGGTGATATGAAACGGATCCCGAGATCATTGGACCAACAAGACTAACATACAGCGATTTCAATGTGCAAGGATCTTGAAACTCCTTTGTCACCTTTCCAATGAAACCAAGCTGCCGTCGTGCCTTCGCAATAACATCTTCGTGGTGGTTCCTGAACGTGAGACTTGAGTCCAATGTAATTCCAAGATCACGCACTGTCTGCACGCGTGATAGGGTGGTTCCGTCGATGACATATTCATATTGAAGGAAATTTTTCTTGCGGTGGAAGCTAATGACGTGGCATTTAGGTACGCTGAGGGTCATATTGTTGGCACGACATCACAATGCAAACTTTTCCAGTGCCTCCTGGAGTCGCAGACAGTCGTCTTCGTTTTCAACGATCACATAGATTTTTGTATCATCAGCATAAATAAAGTAACATCCATTTTCCAGAAGCACAGTTGCGTCATTGATGTACAGCGAAAATAGCAACGGTCCCAAGTTAATTCCTTGAGGTACACCGGAGGTATTGCAGAACCAGTCTGAAGTTGAAGATCCAATCTTTACTGCAAGAGTCCTGTTGCAGAGATATGATTCGAGCCATTGAACGAAATTGGCAGATGAGCCCATCTTGCGTAGTTTAGCCAGAAGAATGGAGTGGTTGACCCGGTCAAATGCAGCTTTCAAGTCAGTGTATATTGTATCTACTTGCTTTCCCTGCCCAATATTTCGAAGACAGATCGAAGTAAACTCAGTGACGTTTGTGGTTTCACTTCTTCCGGGGAAAAACCCATGCTGATTCGTAGATATGTGACTTTTTGTTCTGTTGAACATATAGTTGGAGACGATAATTTCGAGCAATTTTGAGCAAGCACAGAGGGACGTTATTCCACGGTAACAGCTGACATCAGTTTTGCTACCCTTCTTATGAACAGGAAACATAAAGGACGACTTCCAGTCTGTTGGAAACTTGGCCACGCTCATGGACAGGTAGAAGATGCACAGCAGTGGTTCCAGTAGTTGAACGGAGCATTTTTTTATGACACATGCAGGAATTCCATCAGGGCCAGGATTGTTCGACGACTTCAGTTTTTTGACAGCCTTGATGAAATCTTCTGCTAAAATCTCAAAGGTATCCAGCTCAATCACGTCAGTTGGAGTGAAGTCAAGGGGATCAGCAGCATCCTCATTCACAGGCGAGCCTTTAAAAACGGAACGGAAAAACTCAGCAAAAAGTCCACACTTTTCCGAGCTAGTGTGTGCCACTTTCTGATCTAAGGACATAGAAGTTTCCTTTCGCTTTGAATTAACAAAATTCCAGAAACATTTAGGATTTCGCTTGAGGTTTCTTTCGATTCCACTGGCGTATTTGCGGTAGAGTTTGCCATTCAAACTCCTGTATCGACGACTAGCTGTATAGAAGACTAATTTGTCTGATAGAGAACGAGATCTGCGGTAAGTCCTGTGTGTGAGTTTGCAATGCTTTTTCCTTCTTTCAGTTCCTTGTTTGACCACGGGGGCTTCATTGGTGGGCGATGTAGCGGTACACATTGATCTATTGCTTGGCGGACAGAAACGGCAAAAAAGTGAACGGCTGTGTCGAAATCCAAACAGCTCCTGACAGGCGACCAATCAACCTCACTCAATAACGTCGACAATCGTAGGAAGTCAGCTTTAGCAAAGTTGTAGGCCTGGTAGTCGAAGTCGTCATTTTCGAAACGCATGGAAAAGCTGTTATTCAAGGTGACTACGAACGGGGGATGGCAAACATCGATAGCAACGAGCGGGTCGTCTACACTGTCAATGGAAATGAGCGAAGTAAAAATAAACCTAGTTGACTGTAAAAATGCTTCCAAAGTAGAGCTAACATTAGCTGAGTACAGGTTGTTTAGTTGTTGAAAATGCACTTTTGATGTGTATGTTATTCAGCAAGAGTGGTTCGTTGTGTAGAAGCCTTCAAATGAGTAATATATTCACTTTATTTATATTCACTTAGTAGTAAAGTAAAGTAGCTGAAAAAGCGGCAAATACAGCTACAAGCTGAAGCTAGTAAAATAGTTTTAAAGAGCGTTTACTCAACTTTTTCACAAGCATTATACAATTTGTCAATCGCACTGAATAACAGCAGTGTTATTCAGTGCGATTGACAAATTGAGTAATGTTTGTGAAAAAGTTGAATTAACGCTCTTCAAAGCTATTTTACTAGCTTCAGCTTGTAGCTGTATTTGCCGCTTTATTAAGCTAC